TGTCTCTACAAAAAATTTTAAAAATTAGCCAGATGTGGTGGCACGCACCTGTAGTCCTAGCTACTCGAGAGGCTGAGGTGGGAGTATCTCTTGACCCCAAGAGTTTGAGGTTGCAGTAAGCTGTGATCATGCCACTGCACCCTAGCCTGAGCAACAGAGGGAGACCCTGTCTCAACAAAACATTTAGGAGTCCATGAAGCTTCTATTCAATGAGAAATGCATGAATTCTTGCAATTTTCCACTTCTGTACTAAAAAATATCCCCAAGGAGGTAGAAGGGTGCTGAATTACTTTAAAGTATTTCTTTGGGTCTATGAACCTTTGAGGTTTAGAAAATACACAAATATACTTTATGGCACGAAAAACTTGGCAATGAGATAGGCTAAGTTTTTCTAAAAATCATTACTGTTTCCTGGAAGCTGCAGTAAGTAGAGAGGCCTGGAATGTAGCCCTCCTGCTGGGATATATAGGAGGAGACCCCACTTGCTGAGCTGAGACGTTCCATCTGTGGGAGATGCAGTGTGACAAGTTGCACCCAGAGCCCCAGAGAAGTCTTCCCAAGGCCGCACATATCCTTGCTGCCAAGTTCCAGCTGCTCCTAATGGTGACTCAATGTGCTTAACAGGCTGGACCAAGTTATCTTCCGTGGGTCTTACCGTAGCAGAAAGTGCACCGCTGGAGTCTCTCTAACGCTGGTGTGTAGTCAGCCTCCGCCCCAGAGGGAACCACTATTACTTGAAACGTGCCAGTGTCGTCAATCTGAAGGAAGCAGAAGAGAAAGAACAGCTTAGTGGGTAAGGCTTCAAGAACCTCCCTGGACTGTTTAGAGAACCGAGATCTGGAGAGGGCAATAGTGCGCTTTCTAAGAAAGTCCTGGGGAGGCAGAGCACAGCAGCATGGCTAAGAGCTCTGCCTGGGCTTTAGTCTCTACTCTCTAGCTGTATGACAAGTTACTTTGCCTGCTCCCTCCTCTGTGAAATGAGAACGTTACTACTACCTAACAAGACTACTGTCGGCAACAAATGAGTTCCTAACTGTAAAGCACCAACTGGCACAGAGTGGGTGCCATGTGGGTCACCAAAGACCACAAAGCACTTTCATATCCATCATTCCAACAACCCAGTGAGTTAGTTTTTATGTTTATCATGCCCATTCTATAGATGATGAAACTAAAAGCTCAATGAAAGATAAAAGGATTAATCAAAAGACACTGGACACCGAAGGCATTTAAGGAAGAGGATCAGAGACCTCCGCTCCCCGCAAGGCCAGAAAACCTTGTAAAATCACAGGATGCTCTTTATAAGTATCTTTAGGTTTCCACTATGAACTAGCCATCCAAGCTGGCTTTGAAATGCACTCAGACCCACATCCAGGCAGCTCTCGTTTCTAAATAACGTCCCAACCTTTTCCAACTTGGCCCCGCTGTTAGTAACCCATCTGGGGAGCTTAAGAGTGGAGAGCAGGGAGAAGATGAGAAGGCTCCAAATAATCAAGAATAATGAACTTGGTTAATTGACTCCAAGATAATTGATAGTTGAAGAAAAATTGTAAGTATGACCCTATCTAATGTCTCAGGGCATTACATCAGATGACACTTTAGTTTTCTCATGTGATTCTACGGTCTTAAGCTAACAACTTCCCTCTTTCTCTGGGAAGTTTCCTTCCCATACTTAATCTATAGATGTAGAACTTTGGAGGTTGTTGTTTTTTTTTTTTTATTTTTTTTATTTCAGCATATTATGGGGGTACAGATGTTTAGGTTACGTATGTTGCCCTTGGCCCCCCCTCTCCCCTTGAGGTTGTTTTTATATGAGGTCTCTCTTCTAGAGATGATTGGACCAGGGATGGTGTTAAATTAAATTTGGCCAGAGGATGCCTCCATACTTTGAGTCATATAATGAACTGCAACCTAACTTAGTACATAAACTAACAGAAAGTCCAACTTAGGAGTAAACTTTTGTAACAAATAGCTGAGTCTCAGTCAATAGCAGCAGCCAAGCTTCAGTCGATCACAGGCAGCCAACTGATCAGACCATGTTCAAAATAAGGCAGAAGTCCAGCTGTAACGACCAAGCTGTTTGTGTAGCTCACTTCCATTTTCCATCCATGCATGCTGTCTGTCCACATTGTGAAACACAGCTCTCTGAACTTCTGGTTTTGAGGGCTGCCTTATTTACAAATCATTCTTTGCTCAATTAAACTCTGCAAAATTCAATTTGCCTAAAGCTTTTAACAGTCCGGCATCAGAAGCAGGATCTGAAGCAGATCTCCAGTGCCCCTCAGGAGCGCTGATCGAGCAAAAGTACCCGCTGGCTCCACTGTGTCCACTGATCTCTCACAGCTGCTGGGTTGTGGGCAAGTTCTCTCCTGGATTCAAGCTCCATGAACTTGTGTTTGAGCTCGGTGAGTTTATTTAAGCAATGTTTAGAGTGGGCTGGATCCCAGATCAGATTGGATCCAGTTAGAGTCCTCAGTTGTCTGACTGGGTCAGGCAGAAGCTAGACTGGGTTCAGTAAATAGGTTAGGTTACAAGAAGATAGAACAGTGGGTTCACCTGAATCCAAGGAATCTCCCATCTCAGAACTTGTGTTTTTCTAGAGAAATGGGTGAACCTTACCAAAAATAACTTAGAGTTACAGTGGCTACTGTGGGGAAGACTTAACCTAAATAAAATTGCTCATCTATAGGGCACTTTGGAGGAAAAAAAGGGGGGATCCTGAACACCTCTGAAACAATAGGATGTATTTTTGATTGGCATGCAGAGGCTTCCAAAAGACTAAATGAAAAACTTCAGCAATTGATGAGGAAAAAACACATTGACAACTCTGAATGTACCTTCTTTCTCTTTATCCTCCTCTAAACTTACTTTTTTGGTTACTTTTTTACTTCAAAGACATACAAAAACCCAAAACAGTTATTTATAGAAGTTGGGCACTCTGACCAACAGGGCCTGCTTTTTATTATTTTTTAGAGACACGGTCTCACTGTGTCTCAGGCTAAGGTGCAGTGGCACAATCATAACTCACTGTAACCTCAAACTTCTGGGCTCAAGCAAACCTCCTGCCTCATCCTCCTGAATAGCTGGGTCTATGCACATGCCACCATGTCCGGCTTTTTTTTTTTTTTTTTGGTAGAGACAGGGGTCTCACTATATTGCCCAGCCTGGTCTTGAACTCCTAGCCTCAAGTGATCCTCCTGCCTCAGCCTCCCAAAATGCTAGAATTATAGGCAGGAGCCACCACTCCCAGCCAGAGTCTGCTTCTTTAACTACTTTTGTGTTTTGGTCAAAATCTTAAGATCAGAACAATAGTGAAAGTTAGCTCAATCCCGCATGGAAGATGCTTTGTCTGTCCTACTGGTTAATGGGCTCCACTCTGAACTCAGAGTCATCCCTCGGTATTCTTGGAGGACTGGTTCTAGCACCTCCCCATGGATGCCAAAATGCATGGATGCTCAAGTCCCTTATATAAAACAGCATGGTATATGCATATAATCTGTGCACACCCTCCTATAAACTTTAAATCATCTCTAGATCACTTATGATATCTAATACCATGTAAATGCTACGTAAATAGTTGTTATACTTCATTCTTTTTTATTGTTATATTGTTATCATTTATTATTTTTGATTATCTCCATCCTCACTTGAGTCCACAGATATATAATAGAATCTGTGGATACAAAGGGTTGACTGTAATCTAGTTAAAAAAATATATAAGGTGAGTTGAGAAACTGCCTATTTTTAGTTGAGATTCTTTTTTGTAAGAGAAATTTACATCTATAAAGGGAATCTTCATTCATAAGGGCATCTCCCTCTCTGCACCTAAATCACTAGGAGCTTTTATAGTGGAGAAGGCAAAGACTTAAATCTGTATAACAAGCCTCACCTTTGACAACTGTGTCTTAACTGGGCTTCCTACTTAGGCCTTTCTTTGGCTTATAAATAATGGTATTTGGCTCGAAATCTGAGTTCTGTACCTTTGAGACACAAATTTTCTACCTTGTTTTACCTAAGAGCCATCCCTCTGGAAATGCAAATTTAGGGCAGAAAATGTTTAGATTTAGGTTAATAAAAACCATGGACATTTGAGCCACTCAGGCCCATTCTCTCAGAAATCTGGCACTGGGGTCCTGAGGGCAGTGAGTCTATCTGTAGCGGTAAAAGCTAATGTGGCCGTAGGCTGGCCATATTCGGTCCTGTGGACTGAGGAGCAGGGGAAACTGGGGGAGAGAGTGACTTTTCCTGAGGCGGATCTTTGCTTCTGCCCATTTTTTATTCTTCTGTGCATAAGAGATGGAGAAATCTGTGCTCGCCAGAATTCCTCTCTGCAAGACCACTGTGTTTGCCTTCATAAGCTGTCTGGGTTAGAGGGGAAGGCTCTGAGGGGATATGTGATAACTGAAGGTTTTAGCTAAATTTCTAGACACAAATACATAGAAAAAGAAACAGTGCCAGGGAAAGCCTGGGAGGGAAGAAATAGAACATAGTGAAAATAAGCATTATGTGTTACGAGGGGGAAAAAAACCCACCAGCACCACCACCGCCACCACAACCCTGTGGTGGTAGGGCAGTGGAGAACGGACAGGGTGGGGGTAACACAAACATTCTACTTTTTGTGGTCGAATGCAATGCTGTACATGATGGCAATGCCCTCCCTGTGGCTATCTCAGTAAAATCTGCATTGCCTGCTGATTCTTTGTGCAAATGGATCCTTAGAAAAAATGCTGAATTGCGTGTCCAGGTGACCACAGGGTAAAAACAGAGGCTGCTTACCTGGACTCAGGACCAGAGGACACCTGGGCTCTAGATCCTTATAAAATTCTTAGGGTATGTAGATATATATACATAAGTAACTTAAGTCGGTTTTGGTGGTCTGTAAACGAATATAAATGAAGTCTTGACCAATAACAACAGGAGAAAGAGTCTGCACTGCCAATGGCTTTTAAGAGGTGTCTCAGCACAGTTCCAAGGGAATCACGCCTTCATTCCATCTGGACTGTCATCATTAACTGGAAACCAAACCCAGTGTCAGTTCAGAGAGCACTGATCAGACCAGTTGGGAGAGGCCAAGAGCTTTCTTTTTGACAACTATCAGATCCAGGAAAAAAGAAAAAAGCACAGAACATTTGAGGTAGAAGAAATCTTAGGAACCAGGTAATCCAACTCCACCATTTCACAGATGAGGAAAGTGAGCTCCAGAGGTGGGTGGAATATGGGAGGCTTCAGTTTAAATTTTGTTCTCCCCAAACAAGACCTACCTTTTATTTTCTGTAAGAGCTATGTTCAGGATTGTAGCTTTGTATCAGTGGGTCCTAATTTAATTTAGAGCAGTATTTCTCAAGATGTTGCCGAGAAATTGCTGCCATTTGCTAACTAGTTTTGCAGTTCTGTACGTCTACAATGTAACAACTTGCATATTTCTGCGGGGTAGTCTTAATTGTTAATTTATGCTCACATTTAATTACATAAACATATTGGTGCCAACTTAAAGCAACATCATTTCTGTCATTGATTCTAGTGAGTTGCTTTACCAGGGTGAGTCCACAGAGGGTCTGTGCTCTCCTCTGCCACCCCTACTCCCTACCCTCTGGATACATAACCTCTCAATAAAGTTTGGAAAATGGGGTTTTAGAGATCATCCTACCACATATCATTGGAAGAACTATAGTTAGCAAATTACAGAAAAATTCCTTAAACTGAATGGAAGCTGGGGATTTAAAATAAAAGGGTCCTATTGTTCATGTTTCTTATTGCTCACTTTCCTGTGGATTCAAAGTAGCAGCAGCTTGGAAGAGTGTACAACCGTAACATCCACAGATGGGTGATTTGGGGCATTCAGCAAATGCTTCCGGATGATATGCTGTTCTTTCTTCTCTAACCATCATGGGGCTCTACAAATTGATGCACTCAAGAAAAAATAACAATTATTGTTAATAATTTTCTTTCTACAGACAATTTATATTAACAAAGGAAAATCCTTTTCAGAATAAAAAGTTGGGTGCTCAAAATGCTAAAGTGTTCCATGAAAGCTCCCCGTCCCATTTCAACTCTGTCTTCAATCACAAGATTCATCGACTGATATAATGTCAAATACTACACTTATTATTTCTCTCGAACCTGCATGCCAAACAGCAGAATAAAAGGAAAAAACATTAGGTTAGCTAAAAAGGATATATATTTCTTAAAAGAATGTTGGAAAGGGAGACCCACCCTAGATTAGAAGTCTTAATGTGCAGCAAGTAAAATTTCACCGGAAAAGGCAATTACTAAATTGAAAGGAATGATCCTACTGACAAAACAAAGTTGAGACTGAAGTTTTTCCAGTCCATAATAGCCTTCTATTTCAGAAGGGACGCATAGCTCATCATTCAACTTCATACCATTGTACAAAACTTCCAAGACAGCAAGTGATCACAGTCCATTTGCTAAGAAATGTAGGGAAATCAGCCCAGGCTGTCAGAGCAGTTGCTTCTGAGTCTCACTACACACCCGCACAGGTATCAATTTCACGCTGGACTACAGAACTCTCAGATGAATTGAGATTTAGAAAAGCCATGATATGGGTATGAAACAAACTAGGGTCACAAAATATGGCCCCCAAATAAAAATACGCTCTCATTACAGAACTTTTGAATTCTGTTCTTAAAAAATAGTAGTAGTGAATAATTTAAGCATAGGTAAAGCACAATGGAAGAAATAGATACAAGAAAGAAAAAGGCAGCAAAAAGAAGTATAATAGTAATGTACTTTCTCTTCTGTAACACCAGGCCTTGGGTTCTAACCAACTGGTATATATGCCTCTGTTTTTGAGCTTTTCCAGACAACTGTGTTTAGTTTCATCCTCTAACATTCATGTAAAGCCTTTTGGTTTTCTAGTTTACTTGTGTATCCTCAGAGCCTAGGACAGCCACTGGTGTATAGGAGGTGCTCACTAAACATTTATTGAATGAATGAACCTTGGGACCAATTCTGACTTCATCTCTAACTTTTCTTCTTCCTAAGGGGTATTGGGGGCCAATGCTGCTTAGATTTATGAGGGTCATTATCAAGAATTTAAACCTTCCTTGGGGCTCTTTTGAGATGAACTCCTTCAGAAAAGGAGTAAAGAGTCTCTACGTGGGTCAGGTAGAATTGCAAAATCAGATCAATCAATCTCTAAGTGAGATTGTGAACACTCAAACGTTTTAATAACAAAACACTTTTTCATAAATTATATGCTGTGCATATACCTTTGAGTTGGTGGGTGGGTAGAATTGTGTCAGTTTAAGTTTATATCACAAGTGCCATCAATTATTTGCATCAGGACATAAAGCTGACTCTTATTTTGTGAATAAATAAAGCCAAGGGATGGGGGAGTTATGAGGACTCCGTGTAACCAAAATCACTTAGAGAATTTTTGAGCTGCTACTTCTCATGGCAGCTACATTTGCATAGCCTGGCCCCAATCTTTTCTAATTCATATTCATCTTCCTATCTGAGCCTCAAGCATCAGCCTTTTCTTTTGCATAGTTCAATGATAGTAATAGCATTTCAGCTGCTTTATAACCTAGATTTCATTATTATTAAACAGATGTTAGTTTAGCATCAAGCAACTGAATGATAATTAAAGCAAAAGGTATCATTCTTGAGTGCTTACTATGTACTGGGCACTAATGCACAGTGCTGCATCATTTAATCTTCATACCAACTCTAGGAAAAAGGTACTGTTTTCCATATACAGATGAGAAATACATTTCAATGCTGTTCTGCTTATTTCAACATGTTCACAGAAAATTATAGAACTGGAAAGGGCCTCGAAAGGCCACTTAATTCTAGACTCCAGTCTCTAGGAAAGATAGAAGTCACCCTCAACAGGTGAGTGATCGCCCTGTAAAAAGTCCTCAGGAAAAGGTGTTGACCACCTGTATTAGACCATTTAATCCATGCCAACAATAAACCAAAATTGCCTTCACAAAGTTCTTATTTAAACTTAACTAGAAGTTTCCTGTTGCTATTACTCCTATGTCCTCTACTATGAGATTTTGCAAAGTTGGAATTCAGCTGGCTAATTTTCTCCAGTAATGATTTTTCACACATCTGAAGCCAATGATTTAGTGGCTTTCTGCCTTCCTTTCTTTAAATGAAGTAATTTTCAAACGGCTGGTCTTTTTATTTAGGTTGCATTTTCTGATATGTTTTTGCTGCTCCCTGGAGCCCTTCTTCACAGTCTGTCTCACACGAATGGAGAAGAAAACACCACACTGGGCCAACATGGCTGACGGGAAGGATGCTTTGCTGGCCCCAGCATGGCCTCTGGAATGGAGCCCTGCCACTGAGCCACTACTGATGGGGTGTTGTAAAGTTATCGATGGCCGTCTCGATCCCAGGTGATATATTTAGGAATGCTACACATGGAGATTTTAATCCTCAATCCAAGAAACTATAACTGGAAGGGTTTAAGATTTGGATCTTTACGTAAGTGGTGAAGTTCTAAAACCAGCCAACTGGTTTTCATACTACTACCCTGGCTATCTAAGTGACAAGAATGTTTATCGGCCGCCTGATTCGGTATGTTTGGACACAGACAACTCAGAGCAGACTGGGGAAGCACTAGAACAGCAAACCTGGAGTCAAGGTCCGATAGTGCCACTTCCTAGAGCTGTGTGAACCTGGACAAGTAGCTTAACTTCTCCAGGATCAGTTTTCTCATCTATAAAACTGGGAATAACAACTGCGTCTATCTCACACACACTACTTGTGGGAATTAAACAGATAATGCACATAAAGGGCATAGCGTGTCGCCCGCAGGCAGTAATGAACACTTATGACTCCACTCTGCCAATCCAGAATTTTACAAAACTTCCAAACAAATGACCTTGATTTTGAAGGCACGGAAGTACAGTTCTATACTTTCTCACAGGGGCTCCTGAATACCGGCAAAGTAATCGAGACTGTTCTGCGAAAGGCCTCCCCGCGTACCGCAAAGGCGCGCCTGACGGCGGGCACGTTGCCGAAGGCCACCACCACGGGGACGACGCCGAGCGCGCTGAACTCCATGGCAGCCGCGACGACGGCCTGGGCGTCGGAGGACTGACCGCTGCTGAAAAGCGTGGCGACGCGTCTCGTGTGCGCGCCCGGGAGCGTGCGCTTGAAGACGTTCCTGGAAATAAACCTCATTGCTTTGCCAATCTCCCGGCTGGCTGAGGATCTCTCGTACGGAATGGCCTGGATCTCCCTGAGAAGTCGGTTCTTCCTGTAGGCGTCCGAGAGGCGGACGAGGTGCCTGGCGTGGGAGCTGTAGGAGAGGATGGCGACGCGCGCCCCCGCGGGGCAGCTGGCCTCCCGCACCTTCACGTCTCTCACCAGGGAGGCCACCATCCCCTTCATGCGCTCAAATTCCTCCTCCGTGACGTCCCGGGACTGGTCTAGCGCGAACACCAGCTCGGTTGGATGCACCGGGCATTCGGGTTTTCCTGAAGACAAGAACATGTCCCTTATCACGTAGCAACCTTACTTAAAGGATGTATAGAAGGCAAAGTAATTTTAAGTGTTAACTTTTCAAATATTTATAAATAATAATGTGAGCATTAAAACAAACGTAAAATATCAAATACTTAAATCTTGAATAACTATCCCCCCTGCAATCCACTCTCCCCACAGCGGCTCAAGCTTTAAGAACTTGTCCATCAGCACACTTTGACTCAAACGGTACAAAAGCAATTTACGTAACCAAAATGTTTATACCCCCATATTCTGAAATTTAAAGAAATAAAAAAATAAAAAATTGTCCATCATGCTCCTCCCCCCTCAATACTTTCAACAAACTCTTTAATACCCTCCCATCACAATTCAAATAAAATCCAGCCTCCTTATTATGACTGCAAAGCTCAGCTTGCTCCAGCTCCTGCCTATTTCCCCATTTTCTCATGTGAAGCTTTCCTTTTCCCTAAATGTATCTAAGTCATGCTGGGCTCCATCGGTTCCTAAGAGACATCTTAGGTATTTTCTGTTTCATGGCCTCTGCCCTTGCAGTTCTCTCTTCCTAGCTCTTGAAGCTGGCTCCTTTTCATTCTTCACTCCAAACTTCAATTTCACTGCCTGCAAGAAGAGCCCTCCGTCCAAAACATCTCTCCCCTCACACTATCCTGTGACAGAGTATGCTACGCTTTCTCTCATTCACAGCAACTACAGGGTTCTTAATTCATCCATATTTGTTTATTTATTATCTGGATCCTCCACAAGAACAGGAGTTTCTGAGGCCAGGAAGCACGTCCATTGTTCAACTCTGTGTCCCCAGGGCCTAGGACAGATACTGGCACAAAGTAGGCTTTCAATAAATATTTGTTAAATGCATGAACAAGCAATCAGAGGACATGAGTTGGTGGGTTTATGCAGAAGGTATAAGGATATAAATGTATAAGAGGGTGATGAGGGGTTTATACCAAAACATGTCAGGAAGCACTTGTAAGATACTTGAAAACCAGCACTGAAACTCTTAAGCCAATGTGGTAATTAACACCAGGCACAAGCTCGTGGATTTAGCATTATCTGAGCTGTATATTCTGCTTACCTGCCATGTGATCTTCCCTACTTTTATTCTGTCCCCTCTGCCTCTTAATCCCTAACCACTGGACTACAGAGACAATATGACAGAGAAAGAAAATGAAGGGGTAAGAATAGTATTAAAAAAATCTAGAAGTAACTTGAATGGTGATGTTAGTCATTAAGATATTAATAAAAATCAAAAAATGCTTGGTTGAGAAATAGCTCTGAAGCTCAGCTAAAACTTGAGTGATTTATTGGAGGCAGGACTCTGCTACCAGTATAAAGCAGCAAAGAAAGCCTGGATAAAATTTATATCAGTTGGCAGCCAATACATGGCTCTAATTCATCTTTCCAGATGTATGACATTTTGGAGCTTGATTAAGACATGCTGTAAATAGATTACTCACCGTGTCCACCAGCTGGGAAAGAAGAACAGAGAACATCAGTTATTATTTGGTAGGAGAATAGAGCTCTGTACCATGTAGGAAAATCATGACAGTGAGGTTCTGCTATGTCTGCTTTTTGTAGATAACTCAAAAATCAAGGTAACAGATAGGGTGTGGAGAAAATGTAGACAAAGCCCAGCATGGGGAAGGGGACGGGAGAACAAGTGGGACCATTTACAGCCATAAATCAGCAGCCTGCAGCCAGCTGTCAGAGGCAAAGAGTCTTTGCCTGGGAGGGAACATGATGTTGCAGGGAGGTGCACTGAATTTGAAAAGTTAAAAAGTCCTAACTCCTTTCCCTTTACTCTAAATCTTTCCTACGTAGCTACCCATAGCTATCAATTATATATACACATACACACACAATATGTCTGTATGTTTGTATTTGTATATATATGTGCATATTTATATATTATATAAATGTCAGAGGTGGATTTACTCTGAAGTAAATGAATATTTGCTTTAGACCTGCATTGTCCAACATGGCATTCACAGCCACATATAGCTCTTGAAACTTTAATTGAATGAAGTTAAAAATTCAACTCTTAGTTACACTGTCCATATTTCAAGTGCTCAAAGCCACATGTGGCTTGTGGCTACTGTATCGGACAGCACAGTGAACACTTCCATCATTGCAGAAACTTCTATTGGACAGCGCTAATTGAGATCTCTCACAGGGTCCCCTTGCAAAGCCTTTCCTGGGAGGGGCCCTAGCCATGTTGTTCCATGACCACATGCTCTTATAAAATGTACGGAAGTTACTCATCATTTCCTTTTTTGTTCTAACACTTACTTTTGAAATAACTTTGTACCTACTTTTGGATTTGTGATTTTGTATTGAGCCTCTCAAATTTTTAAAGGTCAAGTCCCATCACACTTGGATTTGCCCTTGAGCCATTATGATTCACATGGCTCCTATGTCAGAAAACCTACTGTGCTAATTCACCCCAAAACAACCAATCTTCATACCCCAACATATATATGTATTTTGCTTCCCATCGTGGTTCCGTTTTGCTGTGAAAAAACAGAGCTCTGATGGATACTGCATTCTGAGCTTTTAAAAGTCTGTATCTTGGAGACCAATGCTCTCTATAGAAATGGGGTCTTAATTTGTCTATTTTTCTCCCCCCAAATGCCTTAAGGGAACTTTTGACTCCTCCTTTCAGTCATATTACTTGAGAAGTTATTATGCATTTGTAGGTGAATAGTCAACTCTCTCCTAATCTTGTACATGAAATTTTTTTGATGGTACCAAGATATTTTGATAGAAGAGGCTGTTATTTAATACAAGGGTCTTAAAACAAATTCAAATGAACATTTACAAAATCAAATTATATTTTTTTAAAAATTTTGAGAGAGAGAAAAAAATATTGGCAGAATGAGCATTATTATGAATTTTATAAGCAAATCAGCTCAACTAAAAGTAATCAAACATACCTTTTCAGGAAAGGAATAAATAGTAAACCAAAGTATTCAAATCAGGGCTTCCACCCACCAGGCTTCCACCCTCTTATCAGAGCTGCTTCTTTCACACCAGGTGAATTCAATCCCATCAGTTACTGGCAGGCGTTAATAATCATTTTTGAAAAGTTCCTTGTGACTCTTCACTGATTGATTTCACCATTAAGAGAATGCTGACCTTAAACCTCAATTTTCTCCAGATTAAAAGCACTAGATATATTATTGCTCAGTGCTTGGAACAGGCTCTAACAGAGATGCTGGCAGCCAGAGAGGGAGTTAATAGTCACCAGTCTATGCTGATTCAAAATATATGCAGTGACATCTCTAATTTTAAGAAGTTAGCCGATAAATTATCTCAATTCTGAATGCAGAGTTCCCGTTTTCCTTCTGTGAATGCTGACGACTTGGGTGATCATTTTAAGCAGGGTACTTACGACTGTGGTCTCGCACATACTGAATAAGCTCACATGTCTGCAGTTCAAAAATAAAAAAGAAAGAATTACACAACACAGACTGTTAGACCCTGAAGTTTAAAAACAAATAAATTTAATGGAGTGCTCAGAGCACTCTGCTGTAGTCAGGAGATACATACTGAAAATGAAGCCAATCCTTTGGCACCTTTCACACCCTAGAGAAACAAACAAACAAAAAGTTTTCATGGCTCTAGACACACACATCAGTAGCCAGAATGTGCACTAACATGACCCTAAGAAAGTGATACCTTTTAAAGCCTAACTTTTATTAAGTTAGAAAAATAAGGGGGAAAAAAAGAATACAGGTAGATATGCATCACCTAATTAACAGCAATATTTTGAGGGGAACAAACTATAAGCATCAAGCTTGAGGCACCCAAGCCTCCAAAGGCTACTTTCCTCCAGCTCTATCCCCAGATGATAAGGGCTGTCCAGACTCCAAGAATGAAGTCAACAACTTGACACTGGCTGCAGAGCTTTGGGGCAGGCCTATGACTCAGGACTAGCTAAGGCTGAACCTTATGCGTGCGGCTGCCTCCCTCCTACAGCAGAGGTTTAGAGTTCTTCAACTCCCGTGCTCTGCCCTGGCCACTGAACAGCAGCCAGAGCTGAACCTTCATCTGTTCCCTTCACTGGCTGGATGACAAAAGGATGAGACTCAAACTGAACATCTGGAAAGGGTATCCCAACTACCTTCCAAAAAAATGAATGAAAAAAAATATATGAATATATATATCTGTCTGGGTTGGGGATAGAAAGAACAAAGTGGAATTGGTTTTAATTTCATGTGTTCAATCCCATTTTTGGAACAGGAAGAGTCTGGCTTTTCTCAAAGAAAGACACCCAAGAAAAAATGCCACAGAGCCCCATCCAAACTCCTGAAGCAAATAAGTTTCATGTGAATGCAACTTTGACCATATTCACTATTTATTAATTTCCTTCCACTTCCATTCATTCAATGATCACTTATTAAATGTAGAAATAGGGCAATGACTGGACAGATAAATAAAATTCATTGAGAATTGAAACATACCATTTTAGTCTAATACTTTTCATTTCCTTCCTCAATTTCCCCCACTTCCCAAGAGATATTTAATCAGCATTTTTTCTCCTCTGAACATATAAAGGTAGAAGAATAGTGAAGACAGTAGCCAAGCAGCAGAGACAGAAGGCATTCACATTTGTACAGTGAAGTTTCTATGCATTGAATTTTTCTAACATGGAAAAGGACCTGGTGTGATTTATAGCTTTTCTACCTACCTTGCGTCCAGGAGGTCCTGGCTCCCCAGGGGATCCTTGCTCTCCTGGAAGCCCAGCAGATACCTCAAAGTAGAATTTGTTTATTTAAAAGTTACATTTATGCACATATGTATAATTAAAATTCACATTAAAAATTAAATTCCAATTAAAAAATTTAAATTTCAAAGGTGCAAATTCAAAAGTGAAAATTTCCCTTTCACTTTAGAAAATTGAGAGATTTCTGAAAAACACAAAGAACGAAAAAAAGTCCCCAGCAATCCTTTCTTCCCCAAATAATCATTGTTAACATTTTGGTGTCTTTTATTCTTTTAGTATTAAGATATATATTCCTTTTTTTAAAATTTATTTGGAGCATACTTTTTCCTGTTACCTTTTAAACTAAATATATCTCTGAATATTTCATGTTACTAAATATTCTTTTACGAAATGATTTTTTATGGATGTATTCTATTATATGGATATACTGTGATTAATTTCATCAGTCCCTGATTATTAGCATTTAGGTTTGTTGTAATAAGCACATTGTTGTAATAAGCACAATTCTGATTATTTCCTTAGGGAAGAGTGCTAGGACTAGAATTCTTGGGTCAAAAAAATACTTTTTATCTAAACGAAATGGTAGGTGAGTAAACTGAAAAACAAGCAAAAAAGAAAAAACCTGGAAAGACAAAATTAGAATTTAAAAGCCTTTAAAATAACAGAAACACTTAACTGTTAGCTGGAAATATTTGTAATGAAGTGGGGGATAACAGCAATAATGAAAACAACAGTTGTCATGTAACAAAAACATTTGAAATTAAAAAAAGATTTTGAAATTAAAAAAAAAAACCACAGTTGTTATCTGCTTTTTCTGTGTGCATTCAACAATAAATTTATCATAAGGAGAGCTAAGAATTTAGTTTAAAAATTGGAGTAATATTTATACTTCATTCAATATGCCAAGGATTTATAACCTTTATAGGAATAAAAAATGAAGTTGTCTAAAATCAACTTAATTTGTAAAATTATTGCCTATGAAACAGTAATTATTGATGTCCTTTGGGTAGTACAATGATATTGATAGTGCTCTGGGTTGAGTGAGAAAATGAACTTACTGCCCATATTTTATTTAGAAGATATTGATTAACCTCCAGGAAAAAAATGGCAGATTGAATACATGCATTTACTTTTGTACCTCTCCAGTAATAGTAAGCAGATTTTTTAAAAAAGGCAAAAAACAATGATAGGGAAAATGAGAAGAAGACAATAGGCATCTGGAAAGCAGATGTGTAAGTGTTAAATGGCTTAGCAGATCTGAGAAAGATGAATCCTAAGCTAGCAGCAGGGAAAGCCAAGAACCAACGTGTTTTCTATCACACATTCCCAGAAGGCTGAGGATTTGGCAGCACCACGCCCTCCAGAAGTGAAGGTGAGGGGAAGAGGTGAAATAAAGAGGTTTAGTTGAAAATCATTTTAAGAATCCCCAAATCTCCTCTCTATTCTCAACAGTTGAGTCAATGTCCCTTTTTCCACACTAGCAACAAACTGAAGTGGGACTCCAGGCAGAGCGGAGGACCCATGGTACCACACTGAAACCGGGAGATGAAATGCAGGTGTGCACAGTAGATGTGAGACTCTCTAGTTCTTTTTTCCCATGGCTTCTAGATATCTGCCAGCTAGACTTTTAATGTCCAGGTAGGAAACTGAAAAAATTGTTTTCAGGGGAATTTGATTAGACAAAGACGACAGACCTAAAGATTCGGATGTCGCGGCTTTGCTAGATAAAGAGTTCAGCCAGAGCGCTCTCCAGTGAAACTTGTAGTTGACAAGCGCCACTCATGTCCTCAGGGCTTCCACTCAGTCTTTTTGTCCTCAAGTCTTAAATATGAAGAGAGCTCATTCTTGAAACTTGAGAAATAGAGATCAAAACAGAAAAAGAAACTGCAGAAAACAATGTTGGGCAGAGACAACTTCAAAATACACATTTATCCTCAGAGAGATCAGAGAAGATGTTTCAACCATGAAACAAGAATGGTTTACCACAAGAAAGGAACATTCTCAACAAAAACAAGCTCTTGAAAATTAAAGTATGAGAGAAACATTGTAAGGTAAATTCAAGGAACTCTCCCAGAAAATAGAGCAAAAAAACAAAGAGCTGGAAAATAGGAGAGAAGAGATAAGAAAATTGAAGGAATATATTAATATACCAAGTAGGTATTTTAAAAATAGGGACTAGAGAAAACAGAGGGCAAGAAATCATCAAAATAATTAATGAACACTTCTTTGAACTGAAGGACACATGTTTCTAGGCTCAAGGGGCCTAACGAATGCCCAGGAAAATGGATAAAAAGGCACCACACCCCAGCTCATAAATGAAGTATCAAAACACTAGAGACAGAAGGATAATCCAATAAGGTTCCAGAGAGAGAAAATTGGTCACATTCAAAAGATCAGGAATCAGAATGGCTTTGTCCTTCCCCAAAGCAACAAAAGCAGCTGGAAATAGTAGAGAAATGACTGCCTTCAAAATTCTGAGGATTTAATTCCAACTTAGAATTGCATACAGGCCAAAATATCAATCACATCTGAAGGTAGAATAAAGCCATTTTCAGATGTTGGCTGTATCAAAAAAATTGACCTCTCATCCGTCTCTTAGCAGGCTACTAGATGAGTTTTTCATGAAACAAAGGGGAAATCCAACAGGAGTCTGGGAATGGGAACGAGAAGCAGAGATCCAACACAGAAGAGAAGCAAAGGGTGTCCCCAGGGTGGACGTGAGGGCGACTGCAGTGCGGCAGCTGGGCGCCACACAGAGGGAAACCACATCGTGCTGGTCAGGCCAGAAGCTCTGGGTCAGTCAGGATTAAATTCGATAGAATATTTGCTGCATCTAAAAGTCTTCAGGTAAGATTCAGACAAATGGCAAATTAAGAAAGGTAAATCAGCAACTGTTATAGTAGCAAGTCAGTTTATAATGCCTAAAAAAACTTAAAAATCAAGAAAGTAAGAATACAAGCATGATATTTAGAGGCATACTGTCAATTCCAAATGAATCAGTTCAGAAATGAAAGTTGTTGTTTCTAGGAAGAAGGAAATGAAAGGAGGGGATGGAGAGATTGTCATTTTTTTTTTTTTTTCTCAATAAGAAACCTTGTGAAGTTATTTGACTCTTTAAACCAGTGGTTTAAGAGAATCTCTGAACTGGGGAGAATTCTGCTTACTCCCCCCATCCCGCCCCGGGACATATGGCAATATCTGAAGACATTTTCAGCTGTCGTAGCTAGGCGAGGAGGGTGGTTGATGCTGGAATCTAGTGGGTAGACGCTAAGGATGGGGCTAAACATCCTACAATGCAGAGTACAGCCCCTCACAACAAGAATTATCCAGCCAAAATTGTGAATAGTGCTGATGTTGAGAAACCCTGCTTTAAATTGTGTACATGTGTAATGTTGGTAAAAAAACAAAACAAAAAACTAAAAAACTACATACAAAATACACATATACACAAAATAAAATAAGTTAAAAATCACGGTAAAATTTAATTTTTTTTTGAGACAAGGTCTCACTTTGTTGCCCAGGAGAGAGTGCAGTGGTGTCATCATAGCTCACTGCAACCTCACACTCCTGGGCTCAAGCAATCCTCCTGCCTCAGCCTCTGAAGTAGCTGGGACTACAGGTGCACACTACCATGCCTGGCTAATTTTTCTATTTTTTGGGTAGAGATGGGGTCTTGCTGTTGCTCAGGCTAGTCTCAAACTCCTGACCTCAAATGATCCTCCTGCCTCTGCCTCCCGGAGTGCTAGGATTACAGGCATGAGCCACTGTGCCCAGCCTAAAAAAAAATTTTGAGGAAAAAATCCAAAGTGAAGATGTATAGAACTTAAACTAGGAATATAATTTCAAGAGAACTGAAGAGGAACTCGGAATTTAAGGCAAAGTTTATCAAAATCTTCTAAATCTTCAACTCTGTCAAGAGAAAACCTGGAATTTTTCAAAGTCTAAACTTTAAATACAAAAATGCTCTTGTAAAGGTGGAAAGAGCAGGTGGGTGGGTGGAATAAGTTACAAACAGCGATAAATTGTCCAACATGGAGAACAAAAAGGAAATTGGAGTATTTCCAAAGATCAAGGAAGAAAGTTTGTTTCCCCTTAGTTTACTGTTTTTTTAAAAGAAATTATTAATGTGCCATTGGGAGGAGGGACCCAACAAACAGCTGAACTTGTAGCATGCTTCCGATGTTCAAGGTTAAACAACTTCGATTAATAAGCCAAGGGAAATGATCCAGGGATACTTAATGCAGATGACATCTGGATTAATTTGAAAGTCTTTTCTAATTATTTTTCTAATTATATTAGCCTTTGTCATTTTTTTTTTTTTTTTGAGAGCATAATGTTAAAGAATAGCAATCCAAAAAACATGTCTGACAAAAGAATTATAGCTGGGAAGCAGTCCTCTCGGGAGGAGGTGAGGAAAAAGAGAGGTTTCCTTGTTTTGTACCTCTAAAACTTACATAAAAATAATCTCTATACAAAGTTCTTGTTAGCGTTTGTAAAAAGAAAACTAGATTGGAATAAAATTAACTATGAAGACAAAACTGGAAAACCACCTCAAGTATAAATTTTTAATCAGATTTTTTTAATCCTTGCTAATTGACATGTTAAATTAAGGCCAGTTTGCCTGATCAGTGCTATTCTGAGGAAAAAAGATGAAGGCTGTATTGAGAGACAATTATCTTAAGTTTTCTTTAATATAAAACAGCCACCTCATTTATACACACTCTATGTAGACTCTGCGAATGCAAGAAATCCATTCTCAACCCACTGGAACCCAAGACAAGCCCGTGAGATGAAGTGTACTGGAGACTTGTGTGTATTCAGAGTGATCTAAAACATTAGGCAATATCTAAGCCCCTCCAGAGGATAATAAAGACATATTCAGTTACATAGTAACTAGAAATGCTCTCTCTTGAGCTAAATGAGGAGGGAATCTTTCCACGTACACTTCATTAAAAGTAGTTTAACAGAACCTTAATACTGAACACAAGATGCCAGTGGGCATTCGGTTGCACCGAACCTGCCAGGGAGACAGGATTAAACTGACCATGTTTTGGCAGTGCAAAGCCTGTTTTGGATCACAAGGATTCCTTAAAACAACCTTATTTCCAGTGTTAAGTATAGTACCTTGGCAGCCAGAACAGGTGAACTTTTTCACTAAAAGCAAATAGTTCGTTGCCTTCTGGCTAGCACTGAGGGATGTCTAATATAGCCATTTCCTTTCCCTAAGTTTGCCTTAACAAAAAATACACACATTTTGTACATCTTTGGGAAAAAATGACAACTCAAATGATTATAAATGCATGAAGGACTTCCCAAAGTAATGGAGGCTGTCAGCAACCGAAATCTAAGAAGCTTACCATTTTGCCTCTAGCTCCCTTGGGTCCTGTCTCTCCTGGGTCACCAGCGTCCCCAATCTCACCCTAAATACGTACATTAAAATAAAATGGTTATTAAAATCAAATATATCTATTTCACAGAGATATATTTGCATTTTTAAACTGATTCTAACATGAAGACATTTTTCATTTATATATACATATATTTTTTAACATTTTTTAACAAAGTTTTTTTCCTTTTTGTTTGCAAAGCTCTCTACATAGCACACTGCACTGTTATCATTTTACTCTCTGTCTCCCCAGCCAGAACAAGGGCTCCTTGGAGACATCAACTGTGCCGTTTATTTTGTCCTCTGACTCTACCACAGAACCTGATATTTACTGAGTTCAGTAAGGGTTTCTAGAAAAACTAAAAGCCATCAGTAAATGATGTCATTGCTAACTTATCTGAAGATGATTTATAAACATATTGGGAAAATTGAACCAGATGAAATCAGACAATTTTGGTTTTCTTTACATTTTACTTTTCTTTGAACAAAGAAGAAAATATATATGACAGAGGGGAAGGAATCCATTTGAGAAGAAAAATTTTAAAAGGATTAACTTTCTTTCTGTACCTGAGTTAAAAAACTAGAAAAGAAATATTTTTAAGTCTTACACTTTTAAACAAATGTATAAACTTAAAAGCTGAAAAAAATTTGCCTGTTTCTTCTCTCCTTTTCCCCACAAAGGTAGGACATTTATTTACCATTCACTATTCTCCTGTTGGCCTAGGATACATTTCATAAGCCCAGGAGTATTTCCGACTGATCTCCAATTACTATGAAGTACACAATACCTTAGGTCCACTTTCTCCAGGGAATCCTTCTTGCCCCTGTAATTGACAATAGGAAAGATTAATATATGCATGTTTCACCCAATTAGGTTTATACTGACATTAATTTTACCTGCTGCCTCATTTAGTTTTAGTACTTCTGTATCAAGGAAGGGCTGAACAATTGGAAACTGTATCTCAGTATTTGAGAAACTAACTCCAATTTCTAAATTAAACTATTTACTGGTTTCATCAAAATATCATGACAACTCAAGATCAGTGGCTAAAAGTACACATCTGAGGAATGATGAATCAGCTCTCTTTCTTCTGCATACATATAACAGAATAGGTGGTCATTTGGCTGTGTGTCTCTGAAATCGTCTTAGAATGGATTTTAATGGAGAAATTTGGGAAGCCTATAGAGAGTGTATAATCGATAATTTTCAGGTCCTCTGTTTACCTTACTTTGGCCAAAGACCATAGTTAAAGAGATATATTAACTCCTATTTGATGAAAAAAATCCATTTTATTTAAAATTAAATTTTCTGATTAAAAGTAATAAATGCTCAAACTTATATGAAATCAAAAGAATAAAGTCTTCCAAATCTTACTATCCAGAATTATACATATCGTCATATTTCCTTTTAACTTTTTAAAAATGAATTTTACACAATCGCCATAAATGTTTTTCTGAGTACATTCTGAAGTTTACTTGAAATTGCCACATAAAAATTTATTTGCATAATTACAATCTTCGTATACATTCATTTTGTAGTATGGCTAATATTCTAATGCCATACACTACTTAATATTTCCCTTCTTATGGGATATTAAAAGGTTATATTATGATTATGTTAACTTTTCTCTATTCTAATGAATACTTCACAGGAAATCTCTCTTTATTTTTCGAAAAGTTTTAGCTTCTGAAACCATGTTGAAAAACTGAAATAAAAGTTTTAGCTTCTTTTGGTTCTTTATTCTTTCAAACAGCTTTTTGCATCATTCCCACTGAGATTTCACTTGAAATTATATTGATCCTTTATAATATTTAAGACTTTCCATCTTGGTATGCCTCTTGATTACTGAGGTTTTCCATCTCAGTAATTCTTTGTCATAGGTCTCAAACATTTTGCAGAAAGGCTATCTTTAACTAAATTATGTTTTTGTGGATTTTGTAATTATGTTTGGGTCTTTTTCATTATGCCTTCTTACTGGTTATTGTTGGCATATAGAAATCACTGGTTTTGGTAAACTTATGTATCTTAGCTCCAGCCACTTAAATATTCAGTGGCAATACAAAATTATCATTCTGATATATAGTTTTATTTTTAAGTTATTGCTTGGCCCCAATGCATTTGTAAAAAACCCTGTAAAACCCCTCACTAATGGTTAAAGCAAACATGATAAGAGGATGACAAATTTTGGAATGCCTCCCTGAGTAAATTTGAGTGCAGGGCTGCTTAGATGTAATTTTCAGCAAGTCAGACTCTAGCCACATATCACTGCAAAGAACAGAAAATTCATTTTCAAGTTACAATTGTTTCCTGCACCTTAAACCACCACATTGTTTTCTTCTCTACCACATTCCCCACGGGATTTTAGCAAATAAATTATCCCAATATATTTCTAACTGCCCAAGACTGCCTTATTTATTGCTTTTTTTCCTCTCAAATGTGGCAAACAAAACAAGCAACAAAACGTAAATGGAAAATGTCTAGCTTTCAGTAGATGTGACTTACTTTTGCTCCCTTACTTCCAACAGTACCATAACCTGGACTGCCATCATTACCCTGTAAACAAAGCGATTAATTATAAACATTCCAGACTACAGATAAAGGCAGGCTTATTCATAAGAGATCAGCTTTTTGGTTTAATTAAGGGAAACTGGGAAGCAGGATTCTCTGTCTGGGACAAGCCACTGACATTTTGTGATGGTAGTTACTAAAGGCAACTGTCAGTAACAGACACTGACAATGCACTGTCCCTGAGTCTTCTCATCTGTAAAATGAGAATAATTACACCCTACTCAGAGTGTTATAAGGATTAAATGAGAAAATATCAGGCATGTAATAATTTTTCAGAAAGAAGAGATAGTAGGATTACCTCTTCCAGATATCATTTGTATTTTAATACCATTTTCAGTTTGCTAGGCAAAAAGAACACCTAAATACCTGGGCATTAGCTACTACTGTCTGGCCTTTGTAGAAGCCCTGAGCACTGGGGAAAGGACAGGATTGGTTTCTGATGAAGAGGCTCTGATGGGGATTATGGGGATGCTAAAGACAATTTGACTTTAAGAGCATCCCAGTCATGATGTTTTGTACCCAGGAATTACTACCTTGGGGAAGCTGGCCAAGGAACTAATCCAAGATGAGGACAATCTCTCTCCCAATTTCTAGAAAACTATAAAGCTGGACTTGGATGGTATTCTTAAAACTCTCTTTAGAGAACTACACCAGGTATCTATTGAACTAAAAGATTCCAAGGGCCAGATCAAAAGTAGTGATAAAATGCAAACCGGCAAGCCTCGAGGACCAGGAAAGCCAATAGCTCCTTTTTCGCCCAGATCTCCAGGTTCTCCCTGTTAAACAGAACAATGAAATATCTCCTTGTTAGGTTGTTTTTGCAATGGACATTAGGAATGATGGCATGGATTCAACTGCATTCATGTGGATTACACACAATTGGTTTGTGCCCAGGACTGTGTGTTGCACAAGCGACAAGAGGAACAGCTATTGCTGGCCAGTGAGGAGTCCTCCACTGACAGCTGAAGTCTCAGCACGTCTGACTTATTGTTTAGTGCAAGCTGCCATCTTTAGCAGCTTAGTGCCAAGAAAATGTCTTACCATGAGTCAAGGAGGAAGTTCTGTACTGTTTTAAAAAAATTAACATAATTGTTTTCCATGATGATTTACGTAAATCATCTGGCTGCTGTGAAAATGGCAGATTAATTAATCTAATTTTAAAGTTTTGACTGTGAATCAAGACAGTCAAGGGTTCACAGCATCCCTGGCAATAGTTTCTGACTAGAAGAACATCTACTGTGGGTTATAAATCAATCTCAGTATTATATTGAGGAAAGTTCAGTTACATGGGAAAATTAACACAAATTTACAAAGGAAGGTTAACTCTTCTTAAAAAATAAAAAATTTTAATTTTGGAGTAGTTTTATATTGACCGAAGTATTATGGACATAGCACAGAAAGTTCCTATGCATCCCACATTAACTTGCCCCTATTGTGAACATTACATTCACTAATGTAATTTTGTAGGGTACATTTGTCACAACTGAATCAATATTAACTTATTAACTAAAGCCTATACTTTATTCAAATTTCCTTAGTTTTTACCTAATATTCTTTTTCTATTCCAGGATCCCATCCAGGGTACCATGCGTCACATCTCCTTAGGCTTCTCTAGACTGGGACAGTTTATCAGACTTTCTTTGTTTTAGATAACCTTGACAGCTCTGAGGAGTATGGGTCAGGCATTTTGTAGAAATGTTCCCCAATCGGGGTTTTTTGCCTGATGTTTTTCTGATGATTAGACTGTGTTTGTGGGCTTGGTGGAGGAAGACCACAGTGATGAAGTACATTCTCATCACATCATATTAGGGGTGTATGTTATCAACATGACTTATCACTGTCTGTGTTAACCCTGATGATGGTTGAGGCAGGGTTGGTCAAGTTTCCCCACCGTCATGTTACTCTCCATCCCCCTTCCCCTTTCCATACTATACATTTGTGGAAAGAGTGTGGAAATGTGTGCAGCCTACACTTAAGGGGTGGGGAGTGGTTAAATCATTTTTAGGGATAGAAAGGCAACAGTAAGTGTGAGAAGTGCAAACGGATAAACATCCACCAGCACTGAACTCTGGAAGTGAAACAGAAGAGGGTTCTATGAAAGGGAAGCAGGAGATTATCTGTCCGGATGACTTTCTTTCAGGGCAGTAGTAGTCAAAGTGTGCTCTAGGGGCCACCCATCCCACAGTCATCCAGGGTTCATGCATAAAAGAAAATTCTTGGACCCCACTGGATTAGTCTTTGGGAGCAGAGCCCGGAAATATGCACTTTTAAATAAGCTTCTCAGCTGATTCACATACACACTAAAATTTGAGAACATCTGCTTTAAGGTAGGGAAACAAGGAAAGCCACATGGCTTGTCCAGAGCCATATACTTGGTCAATTGGTGGAGCCAGGCATTGAACCCAGGATTAATTGCTGGGTTGCTTGGCTCCCTGGGAACTTGAACTTATTGGAGAAAGGCAGGGGTACATGTTTGAGGTTTATCTCAGTTAATAATGAGTCTACAGCAGTGGTCCCCAACCTTCTGTTACCAGGAACTGGTTTCATGGAAGACGATTTTTTCATGGATGTGGGGTGGGGGGCAGGTAGAGCTCAGGCAGTGATGCAGCCAATGGGGAGCAGCTCCCCTGCCACTGACCTCCTGCTGTGCCCCCCTCCCCCATTCCTAAGTTTCATGGAAGACGATTCTTCCACGGACCAGGGGATGGGGATGGGCCCAGTGGAGCTCTGTAGCCTGGTCCCTAACAGGCCACAGACGGTACCAGTCCACAGCCCAGGGGTTGGGGACTGCAAGTCTAGAAGACTCAGCCCATCCTTGGGCTGCCCAGAGAGTTTGGGTTTTCTCTGAGGCACTTACCTCCCAAATTCTTGCCCCCCACCATGTTCCTTTTATTAATAATGATCTTCTTAGGCATGACTTCCCTGCTCATGTCTATCTCCTTTCACACTCACCTCTGTCCAGCTCTAGGGTCCCTCCATCTCTGTCTCCCTCACTGGGTGCCTTCTGTCACACCCAGTGGAATGCCTTCATTTCACATGCAACATACACACATCCTTACTCGTAAGACAAACTTGATTCTCATCAGTGACACCACGTCCCCTACAGCCTTCTCCAGGGAAGAAGGCAGCATTGCCTCTATTCCAAACTTTCATTTCCTGACTATTGCTTATTGCTTATTGCTACACCACATGCCCTAGAAATCCCTTCCTTTTGAAGTTGGCTGTTCTTGTCATCCACATATCTTATTATATCCTCCAATTAATTGTCTTTGCAACACTCAACTGCTCAACTCCATCATAGCAGCCCTTGTTAGCAGCTCTTCATTACAAAGCTAACCCCTTTTCTTATGCCCTAAATCTCATCTTTGTCAAGAAATTTCTCCATTCATCATCTACATCGTCTACTTTTTCTAACATCTTCAGCTTCCTCCTTTCTTCCTGGTTTTCTCTTATCTGATCATAAACATGCTACAGTTTCTCCTATCACCGAAAAGAATACCCAGCTCCAACCTTTCCCAGACCTCACCAGTACGAGTAATGTCCTCTTCCTCTCCTTAAAAGGCCTGGTTTGTAGCCCCGTATCCATTTCCTTCTTGCCAACACAGTCCTTTGCAGTCTGTGCCCCTTCCTTTCTCTCCTCCGAATTGCTGTACTTTTGAAACTCTTGTTTGGAGTGTCTTAGCCACCATATATGATGGTGTCTCCACTCCTCCCATCCTTAACTTTTCTGTACCAGTTGATACTCCTCTTCCCCTTCTTGAACAGTTCTTCTCAGAATCCAGTTTGCTGTTCTGTTTATTTTCCTTCTTTCCTAATAATTAATTGTCTTATGTTTCCTCTTACACTTCTAACAAATAGGCATCACCAAGAGTTTTTTCTTTAAAATCCAATTCTCTGAAACCTACATCTCTGAACAGACATGAACACTTTCCTCTACCACCCAAATCAAGTTATTTTCTTCTCTTTTAAACCCACTCTTCCTCATGACTCTCCTATGTCTGTGGTGGTGTTACTACTCAGGCTGGAAGCCCCCAAGTCTTCGAGCCCAGTTCTCTTTCTCAGTTTCTTATGGGAAGAGTCCTGAGGAATCATCACAAGTCCTCACTCTGTTAAGTCACCCAATTGCTGCTTGTCTTGGAGACTATGATATGTACCAATTGATCTCCTAGCTTCCAATCTCTCAGGTTTCATCATATTCCTACACTGGGTTGCCTATTTAATATTCTCCAAAATCTGGCTGTGTTCATCTGCTCCATTCAAAAATTTTAGATACAAATGTACTGGCTACTGAATAAAGTCAGTCACCACAGACTTTCTTGTTCTTGCCTGCCAGACAGGATCATTTTTCATGCTCAAATGAAAAATTTTGTTGAAATGTTCACCCCCTCTTCTCCCAGGATTTTGCAACCCTGTGCTTTACTTCACACTATTTCTTCTAATTAAAATCCCCCTGCCCCCTCTTTATGTTTGCTAAAGTCCTCATCTTGTTGTAAGACAAACTTATTTGTACTGGTGAGGTCTAGGAAAGGTTGGAGCAGGGAGGATATTTGTTTTCAGTGATAGGAGAGACTGTAGCATGTTTAGGATCACAGAAGAGAAAACCAGGAAGAAAGGAGGAGGCTAAAGATATAAGAAAAAGGAGACCATGTAGATGATGAATGGAGAATGGCTAATATTAATACAAAGTCTTTTCCATCCCAGAAATATGTCTTTTAATGCTAGGTTTAAACCTCCATTTTAGCCCCTTATCCTTGTCTACACTTTATGTCATAGATTATAGCCTTGAAAATATTCTAAATTCTGTGGTGTTGATTTCATGTCTTAGTTATTGTTAGGCAACCCAGAAATTCACTCATTCGACAAACGTTTACTAAGCATGCATTATGTGCCAGGAAATGCTCTAAGCACTAGGGATGCATTAGCAAATAAAACAGGTATCTGCTCTCCTTGAGCCGGCTTTTCGGCCTGGCCAAATGCTCAGTACAGTGCCTTGGTCTCAAAAGGTGTTCGGCAAGGGTTTGTATGAATGGGGGAAAGGAAGGAAGGAAGAAAAAGAAAAAGGAAGGGAGGAAACAAAGGGAGGGATGCAGAGAGCTTGGAAGAGAGAAAGGAAGGTCTGCTCCAGAATAGCCCTCATTCCCTGAGCTCCCTCAAGCTTTAATTGGGTGTAGCCCTTCATGAAATTATGCTGAGCTGGAATCCCTGACCTCATCAAGGTCCACACCCATGTCCTTAGAGGTTGCTGGCTCTCTAAGAATCAAGCCAGGGTTTAGGAGCAATGAGATATATTCTCCCTTGTGTTGAAAGGGCTCTGGCTAATATTAATACAAACAGACATGGTTCTCTTGAGTAGAAAACCTCCACTTTGGTGGATATAAAGAATGTGACCTACTTTATTTCCTTGGCTTCCCAAATGGCCTTGATTCCCTGCTTCTCCTCCGGGTCCTGGAGGCCCCTGAAACAAAATAAGGATTGCAAATATAGCAAAACATAAAGCAAGTTTCCTTCAAACCCTTTGTGTCTCTTCTAAGAGGAAAATGAACCACAGATGGGAGAAGAGTTATGGCTGTATTGACTCCTGCTCTGGAAAAAAGTATTGCAGCTGTCAAATAAAGTCTAGTAAATAAAAGAAAATTAATAAAGTAATTCATGCCAGATGTTGCCTTAAGGATTGTACTTCCTTGTGAGTCTTCCAAAGAGATTTCAGGTTCTCACTGTTTTGCTCTTGGAGCAGATGTCGCTAAAATGTCTAACATTTAAAGAAGGCATTTCAAATGACATTTGCCTTGAACTATATTCTTACTGGTCCCTTGTTTTGGTAGAAAACATTTTTTTTAGGGTAAAGTGGTCTTTATTGGCAAATAATATAATTTGTATATTAGAAAACTCAAGAAACTTTACTAAAAATGATTAGCATTACTAACAAAATATATTTAGGTATTAATAGTACAAGGGAAATATTCTAAAATAGTTTCCTCTTTCCTAGTGATAAGTTAGAAAAGTAAATGTAAAGAAATTCCCCCATTTTCCAAAAGAAAAAAATTAAAAATGCTTATAAGGAATTTAACGAGAAAGATATAACACCCATGTAAAGAAAGCTTTAAGATCTTACTTTAGAGCATAATTATAAAACTTGAGCAGATGGATAAACGTAACACACATCTATATGGAAAAATCTATTAGATGCAACAGAAGTGCTTCCAATGTTCTAGAAAGCATGTTTTACTGGAACAGCTTTAGACTGAACATTTTAAAATCTCAATTCAGAGACAACACACAACTGCCCTTCTCTGTTATTAACACTTGGGATCAGATTTTTCCTTTGGGATATCCAAACATATGGCAAGAGAAATCTCTTTTGGTAAAACTGTTTACAGGTATTTGTAAGTAATCCTAATTCCAGTGAATTGAAATCATTTTCACATTTTCTTTTGGTCACGGTTGTTGTAATTCAAAAATAAATAAACCAATCTGCGTAATAAGCAATGATACTTAGCAGATTTATTTTGTTCAGAACAAAAAAAAGTTCATCTTTCAAAAATTAAAAATATAATAAATTGGACACGAAAAATTTCCTAATAGGATTGTTGAACAATGAATTGGTTGCTAAGAAAGATAATCTTTCCAGAATCCCCCATCTTTCCCCTGCCCTTCTTCATCTTAAAAGAAAAGTCTCAACTAAAGGACACGGGGAGCACTAAAGGGAGGGAAGGGCATGCCTTTAACCTGCACTTGGGTGAGGCAAAGACATAAAGTATAATGTTTGTACCCTCACAATACCCTGGAATAAAAAAAAAAAAAAAAAGATTACTAATGTCCAAAAAAAAAGTCTCAATTTATTCACCCTGCATAAATATCTCTCAACCCATTCCTGTCTTTCACTTCCACCACTGCATGGCGCTATGTTTTCTGTCCTTACCTTGTGTTTGATCATGCATTCTTTGACACTTCTCCCTTAGCTTCTGTAACACCAAGTTACAGTGGTCTTGATCTCTCTCCAGTCTCCTCTCACTAACCTTCAAAGATTCCCCTTCTTCTGTTTGCCTCTTAAACCTCCATGTGTCCTAAGGCTCTATCCTCTGACCTTGTTTTTTTCCCTTTGTCCCCTCTTCCCAAGTAGCCCCCCACAGGCTCTCATACCACTTCCACATAATGACTCCTAAATATGTACATCTCTAGTCCCAACCACTCAACATTAGACCCACATATTAAAATACCTATTGGATACCCCATGGGAATCATCAAAAATAATATCTACCTTATCATGCTCCTAGTCTCATATTCTTTTGATCAAAAAATGTTGACACCCTTTACTCCCCCTGAAACCCAAGCCAGAAGCCTAAGAATCATCCTAGACCCTCCCTCTAGCTCACCTGTGGAAACCACTCAGCTGCACCCACAGAATCTGTCCACTTTCTGTGTCTGTCCCCCTCCATTCCCATTGCCCTCACTTGCCTTCAGGCCCACCTTAATCCTTCCTAAATTCCTGGCTTTCCTCACGGCAGCCTGGCCTTTCTCAAATCCATTTTCTACCCTTTTGTCAGAGTGATTTAAAATGTTAGGCTGATGCTGGCACCTTATCTGAAATTCTCAATTCTGAGTAGCTTTCAGAATAAAGTTTAAGGTCTGTTTAGTATGTAAAAATCTCTCAATTTTGGTATGGCCTGCCTCTGTAGCCTCATCTTCTGTGACTACTTCAATCACTCTATGTTCATGCACATCAAACCATCTGAGTCACCAAATGTTTGTCTTATGTCTTCACACTTATGTAAGTTTTACCCTTAGCTGGTCCATTTTTCCCTTTAGGGAGAGGTACAGAGGCACTTCTGAAAACCTTACAGTTGTCATCACTGTTTCAGGAAGAATATCTGAAGCCCTTGCCCATGTTCGGTCTCACACTAGTGCCAGATTCCTTTACTCTGTAAATAATTGTTAATTTATTTCTCTCTCTTGTTCACTAGAGACTAGAGTGCATACTTCTTGAAGGAAGGGGCATATCCTACTAACTCCGTATGCCTGGAATATCATACAGTACCTAGAACCCATCAACCTATCCGTCTATTCATCTATCTATCCAGATGCCTATCCATGAATGATTCCCAAGAGAGATGAAATAGTGTGTTTATTGTGTTGGTTTTCCACATGAAATTTTCACGTACTTCACGGAGAAAGGAAGTGGAGAGATTCTAATTGTCCTTGACAAAAAGTTACAAATTGGAAGTTTTGCTTAGGAGCCTACTTTCCACGTGTCTTTCAGACATAATGAACTCTATGAGATGGAGATTTCTGGGAGATTATTTCATATGTAGTTACCCCAAGCATGCACAAGCACAATGAGAGATTATCCTGTTTTAAGAAGCTCCAAAATAAAAGATATTGGGGATGAATGGATGGATGAATATACATAGGGCCTTGTCATCAGAAAACCTAATGCTGCTTCCTATGCAGGATCCCACAAAGTAACAAACTGAGGTTTGTAACTGATTGAATGGGGCTCAAGCTGCAGTGTTCCCAGATAAATTACCACTCAATACTGCTCGTTGGATAAGGGATCAAGTTGGTGGTTTATAAAAGAAAGAAAAAAATTCCTATCATTTCTAAGATATCAGAGAGTCAAAGGGTTTCCTTGACTTGAGTTGGAGAATAGCTATGAAATGTAAAGAGAAGCTGAGGGCATTTAAAGGGGAAAGGCATTAGCTGGAGGTCAAATCTGCATTGGCTTTGTTGTAATGGCTGCCTTTTATTGAGCATTTATTCTGTGCAAGGTACTATGCTAAGCGGTAAACAGATACAGTCTTCAATCCTCACAATACAGTGAGATACCTATTAACAACATTTACCAATCAAAAACAGATTCTCAAGGCATTTAACCCCAAATCATTCAGTTAATAAGAAGATGAGATTGGAAATAAACCCAATTCTATCTGATTTTTTTTCTATCTACTGTTCTGAGGCACTTGCCTAAAACAGGATTTCTAAACTCTTGCCATCCACACACCAACCCAGATTGGAGTTTTAAAAATGTGAATCTCTAAACTTGTTGCAGGAGGGTAGGGCCAAATCCAACCTCCAATATGGGGACTTGGTCGGGGAGTTTTGCTCACGTTGAGAGTCTACAACAGAGCTCTCGGCAATCACAACTGCTTTAGTGTTAAGTGAGGCTAGAAAAGGTGTTTAGAGGTTAACATTTTAAAAAAAAATTGTCCTTAGCATCTTATCAGAAGGGATTGCACTAGGAGTTTAGGATTAGTGGTGGGGCATTGCCAAGGATATCTTGACTTTGGATGGGATAAGGCAGGGCAGGTGCAGGAGGTATAGGCTCTTCTCACACTTAAAAGGAATCCTCGTCACTTCCTATTTTTTATTTGCATGGGAGAAAGTCTTGCAAAAACTCACAACCTACAAATATCAAACTGGGAAGAAACAAGAAGATTAAATGCTCAGCTTCTGTAAGAGTTAGATATGAGCTAACTCTGAGAAAATAAAAAGTAAGAGGCCATCAAGTGGTGGGCTAATGCAAGAAGAAACCCCAAAACATCTGAGGTGTCAATTTTGACAATACTAGTTCTTAGCCTTAACTTTTAACACTTCTGCATGCATCCTATGCTCCAACCACATTGAGCCATTTATGGCTTTTCAAACTCGCCTTGACAGTTCTCTATATACAAAGTTAGGAATCAAAGGTAGGAATCAAACCTAGCCAGTCTGGCTCTGGAATCTATGCCCTTTATCACTATGCTATTCTTCGTAAAGACAACAACAGAAATTCTACTTTGTACTCCAAATTTGCATTGAACTATTCCAATATTTCTTGATATTGCACATGCTACTAGTTATTATTTCACTAAGAAAGCCTAAGTATTTAAAGAATTATTACAGCTTCAATTGGAATTAGTATCTTTGTTTTTGATTTTCCATTCTTTTTCCTGGCATTGATCAAATTAGGGTAGGACCTTGGGGCAAGTCAAACAGAGGGAATGCAGGAAGGTACAAAAGAATACACTGTTCCTTTCAAAGCCCTTTCTTCCTTTCATTGTACCATGGACTGTATGCTTTTATATCATAGCCACTTACTTGGCTGGATTAACACATATTTGACTTATGCAGAATGCCCTAACACTGTGTAAGTTAATAAACCTTCAGAACACTGTCAGCAGAAATCACATCCCTTTTTCAAAATGTATATTCTAAGAAAAACTTTAAAGTCCACATTTAGAAAACACTCCTGTTATTCCACTCCAGTGGCTGGTCCTCATATGCTGTAAAACAATATGAATACTATAGTGGTGGATTTATAGAGCCAGTAAAAAATAACACTCTCTTATATATCTCATTATGTTTGTCTCTGTGGTTTTCCTTTGGAAACAGCAATTCCGAGACCTCATCCATCATGTCCTGAACATAAAAAATTTCACACATTTTTGAAACAGCATTTTCACTGGGACAGGAGTATTTCAAGACATGCACACAAAGAAAACCATGTTTCCCAGCCAGAAAATGGAAGAGCTAGACAAGTGAAGTGGTGTCTTTTGGCTAACTCTGGCAATGCCAAGAGGTTGAATGATTTATGACTACGACCAATCTTGCCAAAGCAAGATGAAAGGGGACTCGCTCACAGAGGTGCCCCACAGGGCAAATAGAATAACTTATTTGAGTAACAGCCACTTGGATACAATTTTGGATTCTAGAGCAAGGGAAACACCAAGACCTTTAGATTGCAACCCATCTACACCTCAATATTTTATATAAACAGAGGAGATAATCACCCACTGTATGTTTTTCTTGGTATTCATTGTTTTTTTAAAGTCTCAATTTGTGGTGCCAGCAAGCACTTTAATGGTTCAAGGATATGAATATAAAATAGTTATTTTCATCAATTTAACTCTACCATGAAATTTTAAAATTTTCATGTTTTTTTAAAGAGCATTTTCATTAAAATTGGGAACAAATATCTTCATGAGCAGTAATTAAGATGCTTTAAAATAGCGTCATGAGACACAAGTTTATACAAATAGTCTTAAATTTTCTGATGATGAGCACAATCACTTAAGCGTTGAGCCACTGCCCCATTCAACTAATCAGCACAAAGTAATGGATTCCCTTTATCCTAGTGTTAGTGGACAGTACAATTCCCAACAATGTCTCATTCATTCATATACTGTCTGATTCACTATACAAATATGTGTTGAGCTCTATTATGTGCCAGGTACTGCTGTTCAAAGCTCAGGGGATACAGTGTAAACAAGACAAAGTCCTGGCCCTCACGGAGCTTATAGTCTAGAAGGGGAGACACACAGCTAAGTGAATGAATATATACTATGGTAGCAGGTAGGCAAGGGCCAGATCATGCAGGACCTTGCTACTCAAAGTGTGTTCTGGGGACCAGCAGCATCAGCATCACCTAGGAGCAGAATCTCAGGCCCCGTCCAGATCTACTGCATCAGTATCTGCACCTTAACAAGTTCTCTAGGGGATTCTTACACATTGGGAAGTTGGAGAAGCTCTAATGTTGGGCTGTCATGACCAATCCTAGATCTATATTAGAATCACCGGGGAAGAATCACCAGGGTATTACTGATATCCTGGCCCTACTTTCAGAGATTCTGATTTAAGTATTCTGGGGAGGGTTGGATGTTTTAGTCTCCCCAGGAGATTCTCATATGCAAGGTTGAGGACCACCAAAGCAAGCTGTATTCTCGGGGTGATGGGAAGCCCCAAGAGGATTGAGATCAGGGGAGTGATGTGACTGACTTACACAGAGGAGAAATTCTTAACCTCAGCTGGGCAGAGAGGGCTAGATCTTCCACCTCTGTGTCTGACAGAATGACAGTTGGTTCTGTAAGATGGGGACCAGGATGTGTTGTGGCCACCACGTCAGGGCACAGAAGTCAAACCTAATGCACTTTCCTCATTCCTAGGCAGTAAATAATGCCATCTGCCGGGAAGAAACCGCAAAGACATCCGTGTTTAAGCCAAGATGAGGTCAGATGCAGTCATTCTCATTACATACCTGGGGCCCTTTACTTCCCAGGGCTCCTTTGTCTCCTTTCACACCAGCCTCTCCTCTTGGGCCCTAAGTACATATAATAAAATCATTATTTTCACCCTAAAAGAGAACACTTGAATATTAAGTTAAATATTAAAAGTGGCAATGCTAAGTAAGATGGATGGATGTTGGAGAGAGAGATCCCATCATGCCTTTGCCTCTGTCCTGGTCTGTTGAACTCTCCCTGACCCGTGCGGGAATACGAACGTCCAGTCTGAAACTTAGGTGCTTGGGCATTTGCAGCCAAAATAACCAGGACTTGGAAAAAATACTGAGCATTTGAGCCTTTCAGTATTGCTAATTATCCGAAGCATTTTCATACTTCAAATCCCTACATTTCCTATGTTAAAAAGAAAAAAATAATCCTTAATCATGTAAATCTGAAACCAGAAAATTTAAATGAATTTTCTATTCGATAACCATACTAAAGACTGGTCATAAACAAGATATGCTATGTGGTAGGATGAAATTTGGATATTTCTACTTCTATTAGCTGGGGCTTCTATATGCTATTCAGAGAAACCTTCATGCTGTGTTTGGATTTTCTTCTCCTTTTAAATTATGTGACCGAAAAGGTAAGGCTCTATGAAATAGAAGAAAGAATGCTATAATATTACTGGCTCGGCGTGAAGTAAAGCCAGTCAATCTACTGAAATGCTTACCCATAGCCCCAGTGCCAACTATCTCTCACTTGCAGGTAAGAAAAGTGAGCTTTCCTCAGCTGGCAAGTAATGACAAAGAAAAGCAATCAATCCAGAAAGAGATAAAGGTCCAAGGGGGAAGCCGTTTACTGCTCTGCACTCTTGGCAAAATGTGGACAAAATTTCTCTTTTGATGTTTAAGGATATTTTGCCCAACTCCCATGCACCAAGCTGCCAACATATAATACTTCTATTTTTTTAAACTATGTAGATTAAAACTTTGAACAATAGCAGAACCATTGATTGTCTTACATATGCAAAATAGTACACTTACTTCTCAAGCTTTCAAAACTAAGTTTGGAGAGGAAAAAAAAATTTCAAACTTTTTTATGGTCAGACTTCCTTTCGCTTCTTGTATTATTTTAGGCTACATATTTTGCCCTCTCTGGCACATGCTTCCTTTTCCCTCATGTGATCAGTGCAAAGAGCCAATTATGGCTTGTTCTTTGCAGAGGAAAAAGTGCTGGAGGCAGCTCCCTGGAGAAGAGAGCTGGAAAGGACAAGCTGAGTGTCACACTGTGCATCATCCTGCTAAAGACTCCAGCTGTCTTTCGAGCAATTCTTTCCTAAGAGTAGAGCCAATTTTTCTACATCATGGGCATCCAGAGATATAACATTGAGCTATTACTGTGTTAAATTGACCACAATTCCCAGATTCGAGGCTCAACATTTTCCCTGGCTCAAACTCTCCCTGGAATATCTTACCTACCCTGAACCCAACACACAGGGCCCGCTTCCCAGCGCACTCATTCTCACTTCAACTCTTGACTGGGACAAAACTTAGACAAAGGAGACCAAGGGCTGCATGATACTGTGTTGCCGCCTTACTTTATACACTGAAAACTTTAAATATCTGACATTCTGTAAGGAAGGATTGAGGATTTCTGTCAAAGCTTCGGATTCTTCCACTCCCAGATTCTTCTGTATGTTCTCACACCCTCATTGGTCTTGGTATGTACCTGAGGGCCCTTAAGTCCCAGTGAGCCTTCAAGTCCATCTGGGCCTGGAATGCCTGTTTTTCCCTGTGGTGAGAAAGAATCAACATGTTAACTTATTTTTAATAATTTTGAATCCGTTATGTGCAAGATTATATTTTTCGAGTCACAATGGCAATGGGGGATTTTTGCAAAAAATATGAAAACTGAAGGCAAATACAAAATCTATAATAAATCTATAATCTCATCAAGCAGAGATAACCACAGTTGGTATGTTGGTCTATTTCCTTCCAGTTTTTTAACATATGCATGTATGCATAGGCACACACATACACGCCTTTTTATAAAATTTGTTACTTTGTGGGTTGTTTGGTTTTTTTTTTCCCCAGAAACAGGGTCTCACTCTGTCTCCCCAGCTGGAGTACAGTGATGTGATCACAGCTCACTGTAAACTCAAAGTCCTGGGCTCAAGCGATCCTTCTGCCTCAGCCTCCTGAGTAACTGGGACTTGTAGCCCAGTGTGCCACCACACCCACCTATTTTTTATTTTTTGTGCAGACAGGGTTTTGCTATGTTGCCCAGGCTGGTCTTAAACTCCTGCACTCAGGTGATTTCCTGCCGCAGCCTCCCAAAGTGCTGGGATTACTAGCTTGAGCCACCAGGCCCAGCCTCTATAAAATTTGTATTATCTCTAACTTGGATATATGAAAACTAATAATATACTTCACGTTTTCTTCAAACATCTCCAGGCATCTTCTAACATTTATATTAAAATAAGTTAAATATTTAGGGATCAAAAGTTGAGCATTCTCTCCACATTGTTCTTGGATTCTGTCACAGTAAGAATTCCAAAAACAGTAAGAAAGAATTAAGAAAGCTTAATTTAGGCAACTATTAAAATAGCCTAAGTTTATGTCTCAGTTGTTATATAGCTAGATGTGATTACATGTCCTTTACTAATAATTTTTCCTAGAACTAAGAAGAAATTTCTTAATACCTTTGTCTCTAATCTCATTTCATTTATATCATGCCATTTTTCTGCATGCCTTTTTATTGAAGGCTAACCTTGAATTGTGCAATAGGCTGAATGTGTATGTTCCTTCAAAATTAATGTTGAAATGTGATCCCCTATGCAATAGTATTAAGAGGTGGGGCCTTTGCAGGGTGATTAGGTTATGAGGGCTCTGCCCTCTTGAATGGGATTAGTGCCTTTGTAGAGATGCTCAAGGTAGCTTTTAGCCCCTTTCACCATGTGTAGATGCAGCAAGGTGGCACCATTTCTGGAGCAGAGAGCAAACTGTCACCAGACACTGAATCTGTTGCTGTTTTGTTCTTGGACTTCCCAGCCTCTAAAACTAAGATATAAAATTCTGTCGTTTATAAGTTAACCAGTTTCAAGTATTTTATTGTATCAGCAGGACTGGACCAAGACAAAGAGTATGTGTAGGGGGGTGATATCTGTGGATGATAAACTCTGTCTAAAAATGTCTATTTTACATTCTCACGTAAGTTTAGCTAGGTATAAAATTCTAAGTTAACAGTTACTTTTCCTCTGCCCTTTCAAGATATTACTCTGTTTTCTGGTATGTATTATTATTGAACAGAAGTCTGCTGAAATCTAATTTGTCATTCTTTTCATGAGTAAAACTGTCTTTTCTCTTTGGTCATATTTAACATGATTTTTATCTTTAACATTCTTTTTCATCAGTTTTCATTGAGAATGGATTATTTATCCTCATTGTATTTTTAATCTGAGGATGTGTGTTTTATAAAATTTTAAGTCACAACTGCTCTTTCATAAATATTGTAAATTCATGAATCATGTATAATGTATCATGAACATGTGCAAAGCAGACTGAACATGGTTTTTGGTTTAACCAATTTTTGAACAAAATATTCAGAATATCCAATTTGTATTAGAATTGTATTCTCTTGGTTTATACAAAATTTATGCAATCATAAATTAATTGAACAAAAATCTAAAAAACGGTTACTCACTAAAGAAAGGTTACAAACTCTAAAGTTATTAGAGTTTGTACTTGAAATCTAAACAAAGTTAAATTTACAATAATTGGGGTAAGTACTGTCTCTGATCATTAATTTTTATTCTTTTTGATTAAAGTGGGCAAATTTTCATCTTAAGATCTGAATTCTTGAAATTGTTGCCTAAATTTTTTTCAACATTTTATTCCATAACGAATGTCATCAAAAAGCAAAGTAAGTTTAAGCTTGGAAGAGACTTATGGTGCCTTTATTCCAGCTCCTTGATTGAACATGGAATATTTATCATTTGGAGTTTAGGAAAAAATCACCGTACCTGTGGACCTGTATGTCCCCTTCGGCCATGAGCAGCCTAAAATAGAAGGAAAAGGTAGATATCATTAATTCAGAAATGCTTTTTAGATTTGATTTAAATTAGTAATGGACACCTTAAGGCACTGACATAAATAAAAGTTCCCATATAGTGCTCAAAACATTTAACTATCCATTGTACCATGAAAGCAAAATGTTGCCAATTTCAAATTTCTGATCCAGGGCAATTGAATATTTATCTCCTTGAAATAATTGACAAGTGAAATAATAGACAACTGAAATCTACAGATACTTATGAGAGTAGATTGTGGTCAATAATTCATTCTTCACTAAACTTTTACTAGAGCTGTTCACAAGCTGCAAAATTGACTGATTTGAATTTTATTTCTTTCCATTTTCCCCAAGAACTACCATGAAAGCCAGAAATCAGAAGTGGACTAGCCAAAAGGCAGGAGGCCAGAGGAAAAACTAGAAGAACTGACTCCATGAACTTCATTGCAGATTAAGTTCAGAAATTAAAGATAGTCCAACTAATTTTATTTTTAAAAAGCCAAATATGCATATCAGAAATAAAAGAATTATCACAAGCATTCAAAAGTTACTCAGTTCAGTATATTAATAAAATACCCAATCAAAATTATGGTGCTACACAATCAAGTGGATTTGTCTGCTACTCTCACATGTTAGTGGAGGGTCTAGGTATATTCCAGATCAATATTTCATAGATCTGGGAACCAAAAGACAATGACATTTTGTTGTCTCATTTAGTATCACTCAGTAAGATGATAGCAAGATTAAAACCCAGGATTTGCAAAATTCAATAAGATCAGACAACATTGTCTTGATGGAAATTTACTGTAGATGTTCTGAGAGGCCAGTATTGCAAACTTTAAATTCTGCTAATTATATTTCAATCAAAATCTATTGTTATGTAGGAAACAGACTGTATATTTGGGGGAATGGTTAGAGGCCTATTTCCTTAAAACACTGATTAGCCATCTTGAGATGAAAGTCTAAATCCTCTATCCAAGGGAGGAAAAGGAGTTGTTTCCACTCCTTTAGCACAAGGGTTTGTCTGTTCTGATTCAATTTGGTACAGTTTTATTCAGAAAAATATCTACCAAAAAATATCTACCCCCAAAGCATACTGAATGGGAAATGTGGCAGCATAAAGATGAGACACACAAATGCACACACGGTGTTTGGCCTCAGGCGACCCCCATTCTTTGGGTTTGCGAGGAGGAGATAAATATTACAAATATTTACAAAGCAGAGTATGGCAAATGCCATAAAAAAGGGAAAGATAGAGATACTAGTTTTAAAGAAAGCGATCATATTCAGTTGGTCAAATCAGGAAAATCTTCCTGGAGGAAGAGGTCTTTGAGATGGGTTTCAAAGGATGGGTAAGGAGTCTTACAGGGAGAGGATATATAAAGTCTTTCCAGCAGAGGGTACAGCCTAAGTAACAAAGTAGAGGCAGGAAAACAGAAAGTGTATTTGGTAGTAGCAATAAGGCCATCTGCGTCAAAAGTGTGAGATGAGAGGGAAGTAGCAAGGTTTCCAGGCTGACAACACTAGGCTGAAGGGTTCCTACGACATTTAGCAGAAGCCACTGGGGTTCTTGGAATAGGAAATGTGCATGGGCAGGCCCTGAATTTAGATGGATATATACTGGTTGTAGTAGGAAGAACTGAATGGAACTTTATATTCAGGCGAAGCAAAGAGCTTCCAGTGTGACAGGATTTAAGGGATGTGGAACGGACCTCCCCATTCAAAAGACTTTCTCTGGTTTACTGTCACAATGTTTGAAACATCATCCATAAACATTTATTCCTTTGAGTCCTTAGGTTTGATTTTGAAAGGGCTTGATGAAAATGAATTACTACAACACATATTTATTGTGTTTCCTTCAAGGAGCTGGGCTGGGTGGTGACTAGCAAAACCCAACTCCTGTCCCTTGTCAGGAGCTTATGAACCTAATGGATGAGATAGACTTTAATCCACCATTCACACAATAATGGAAACGTCTTCAGAGGTAATCACGTAGCACCTCTATTAATGGCTACTTGGCATTTAAGCTCCAAATGAAAGTCATGGGAGAGACCTTGGGTAGGTGTGAAAGACAGAAAATAAAGAAATAGGGGAGGTGATTTTGCAATTTTGCCTAAAATTTTCAAATGTTTCATATGGGAAATATGAAATCCCAAAATGTATTAATGGCTTGCCCAAGGACTTGCAGATGTCTGGTAACACATCTAGACGATCTGACTTATCTTAAAAGAGAATGAAAATGGGCACATCAAGAAAGAAAATCTCCCCAAAAGGACCAGAGAGGACGATGACCCACAAAGGGCTACTCAGTCCCTTAGGGACCCATAGCCTGGCTTTCTGGCTGTTTATCAGAGCACCGAATTTCCTGGGATAGGTGTGGATTGATTTGGGACAGAATCACTGGTAAAACAGCAGGGCATTCTTTTTTTTTTTTTTTTTTTTGAGAGAGAGTCTGGGTCCTTCGCCTTGGCTGGAGTGCCGTGGCATCAGCCTAGCTCACAGCAACCTCAAACTCCTGGGCTCAAGCGATCCTCTTGCCTCAGCCTCCCGAGTAGCTGGGACTACAGGTATGTGCCACCATGCCCGGCTAATTTTTCTATATATATATTTTTAGTTGTCCAGATAATTTCTTTCTATTTTTAGTAGAGACGGGGACTCGCTCTTGCTCTGGCTGGTCTCGACCTCCTGACCTTGAGCAATCCACCCACCTCGGCCTCCCAGAGTGCTAGGATTACAGGCGTGAGCCACCCGCGCCCAGCCCAGGGCATTCTTGATTATAAATCATCACATTAACACTGGGTCTTAATGGCGAACAATCACAATGATGCATCATGGTCCTAGAGCACTTCAGGATACGTCTGAAGTAGTGCCAAGAGGGAGGAAAAGGGCAAAGCATAACTAACAGCCCTCTGGACTGAATAGGAATGGAGGCTGTGCTTTGATTTGAGGCTACAGTTGCTTCTCATTAACCATGGCACAAGAATCTGTTTTAATTCTCAGCGAAATTTGGCTTAGAAAGAGCCAACCTACCCTAATCTCTCCCCAGTAATGCCGCTTTCCAACCCTGATCCTTCCTCCTTGCCTCCCTCTTCCCCAACCCATTTTAGTCTCCTGACACAGTACTTATGACAGCGTACTAACCCTGCAGGTCTGTCTCCCTCTACAACAGGGCTGTCAACAGGAGAGGGGGATTTAGCACCTTCCTTCCCTTGGGAACATTTAGCAATGTCTGGAGACATTTTCCATTGTCACAAGTTGGGGGCGCTACTGGCACCTAGTGGGTAGAAGCTGGGGATGATGTTAACATCCTACAATGCACAAGACAGCCCCCCACAACAAAGAATGATTTAACCCAAATGCCAATAGTGCTGAGGTTGAGACATCATGCTCTATAACATGATTCGCAGTTCCTTGAGAGAAAAGATGATGCCTTATTTGAGTCTGTATTATAGCTCTAGTAGTTAGTAGAGTATCTGGTACATTGCAGATGTTGAATAACTGTCTGTCGAACGCATTAAGGTCAGATTTGGTCACCTGCTGTTCCCCTTCCTTCATGCCGCATCCTGCCACTCACTGGCTGTCCTCCAATCACTTACCCACTCAGCAGAAGCTAAGTGCGCTTCCATGCTCATCTGCCTACATTTTAGAGGTTTTCAGTGAACACCGAGATTTTTCTTCTTTCTCAAAGAATGACTTTATTGTAAGAATGATATATGCTGATATTTAAATATTTTAATGCAGAAAATATACAGAATAAAAATTTAAAAATCACTCCAAATCCTCCATCTAGAAATAACTATCATTAACGTTTGGTAGTCATGATTCCTGACATCTTTTTATGCATTCTTATAGACAGAATTCTAAATAGTGATAGTTTTGACTAAAAAGGGATCATACTATTCAAGCTATTTTAAAATTAAAATATTACATTTAATTTTACTTGAATAGGAGAATAAAAATAAAACAGAATTAGAAATGTCATCTGGTAACATATCTTACATTGCAGTACATTTTTTCCTTGCATTGCTCCTCAAGCACTACTAGCTTGCTTTACTTTCTATTGTCTTGTCAATTCTTTGAACTTTTTAAAAGAACAATAATGTTGTCTTTGTTTCTTTGAGACTTTGAAGAATTGATTGCCAGAATTCAAATTTTTCCTTAAGTAATTCCTCTTCTAGTGAGGACTTATCTGCCTTTTGCTCATGGTTTTTCTTCTCTGTCTTGCAGCTCCTATACATAGGTCCTGATTAATCATCTAATTAATAATAAAGATTATTAAAACTTTTGGTCATTAACCATCTTTGAATAGGACCACCTATTTATTGAAGAACTAATGGAGAGGTGTAGCTGGAGCTGGGCTGGTAGTTTTGACATAGATACATTGCCCCAAACAAATGAATTATTTCTTTTACCTTAGGGATACATCTTCCTCCTGCTTTTGACATTTAAGAGATTCGTGGAACTCACACAAAGTCCCTTAAATCATAATTTCTCTGAGCTGTGATAGTCAGTGTTGCTTCTCTCATTGTTTGCAGCCTCTATGGCCTTGGTCACTAGTTGTAGATAATAAAAATGGAGTATTTTTTGGTTTCTCATTCATTCTGCCTCTTCTGTTGAACTGTGTTTCAATAGGTATATTCCCTGCTCCTCTCAAAATTTACAGTGCCCCTGGATTTTGTTCACCAGCTCTTTTAGGGCTACGGCAGTTACTTTTAGAAAAATCTGATTCCTGCTTGAGTCTGAGTTGATTTGTGCCAGTTCTCTAAATCCTCACTCATTATGGTTCAGATGTAGAAATGTTTGGACAGTATTTGTCATCATTTGTGGCTTGAAGCTGTGTTTATTCTTTTTCTATTTTTAATTTCTCTTGTTGTTTTTGATGAATTGCACAAAACACGGATAGTGTGAAAAACACCTTTACTCTGCCATCTTTAACTAAACATCCTACTTCTACTTCTGAATGACACAGTTGAATCTATAACCCAAGATGGGGGCCATATTTCTTAGGCATGGAGTGGTCGAAATAACACATAGTGATACTGTGCTAGCCTCTAGAGACTATAAAACAGTAAAAGTACATCCTTATGTGCCAGGATTTCCTGGATGATATTCTTTAAGTTGAAAATGTTTTCCAGGGATATGTAAGCTGGCTACACCCTTTTAGAAAGTGAAATGAATAGCAAATGTATTTCTTTATCTTTATATGCATTAAAACAGCATTATTAAAGCACTTTTCCAGCAATCAAGTTCTGCACATTTTAAACTTAATCACTGCTCTGATTTCCATTTTCTCTGCCTTGCAAAGAACATGGGTATGCTCCAAGATACAAAAACAATTTCTTCATGGAGTGTAATAGCTGTTTCTAGGAACTTCTGCTCAGAAAATACAATGAGTAATTAGTGCAACAAACTAAACTAGTTTTTATTTGTGCTTAATTTTAAAGCATTTTTTATTTGGGTTGGGGGGGGTGGAAAAAATTAGAGAAAGCTGGATAACTAAATAAAGAATGGAAAGAAAAACCTTGTAAATGAGACAAGACAGGCTGAATTTAGACCCTAATGCAGGCATTTAAGTGTATTTCATTAAAGTTATCTCTTCTTATTGGATAAAGATTGTCTTTTATAATCTCTTTGCTTTTCCAAGAAAGCATAGAAATTCTGTTATTTTTGTTATTTCCCAAGTCCTTTGCCAGCCCTATTCTGAGACTTTGAAACTGGTCCTCAGTCAGTTTCCCCAAGGGAGTGAGCCCCAGTAGAACCACTCCGCCCGCTCCCCACAATCAGCCATTTTCATCACGACAGAAGCTACCAGAGCAGTGGGTCTCCTTGTCTAGAAGGGCTCTTACTGTCTTTCTTCTGGAGCCTGGTGTTCCGGGAGGGCCTGGCCAGCCTCTTCTACCCTGTCAAAGGAACAGACAGATGCGTGATGGTAATTACACTGCACGGACGCACTTCCCCTTTAACCTCAGCTTGTACTCTAGGGAGGCTAGATGGGCTCATACCAGTGAGCCCTGTGGAATGTGGCATTAACTTCCACTGATCGTAAATCACATCTCTAGGTGGATGATGAGGGACAGAAGGACTAAATGCTATGACATGGGTTACTTCATCTACTCACCACACTTGTGTTTGAGGAACATGTCTCAGAGTACACAAATCAAACTGTCCCTACTGTGTCACTACAGCGTGGATAACTGAAGCATACTGTGTTAGGTATGGTGCTATTGGTGTGGATTTCTACCTTTGGATGTCTTGTGCTGTTTGGCTAACCTGTCTAGATTAACACCATGCTGTAAATAAAATCTCGTAATACTCACAAGTCTTCCCAAGATACAGAAGCATGGAATCAGTTATGATGTGGCAGGGTCAGTCATTAAATTCCCACCATAACCTTCTAAAGTAGGCTGTTCACCTTATTTTGCAGATGAGAAAATCAAGGTTTATAGAAAGTGACTCAAAGCCTCAGAGCTGGCAAGGGGCAGAGCATGAGCCAGGACCTAGGCCTGTCTCCAAAGCCAAGTCCTTTCCAACATATCATACTTCTTCCTTAGGTAGAGTCATCAAGGGAAATTTCTCATCAAGAAGATCCAGAGACACACATTTTCCAGATAACTATTAATATTTTTTTAAAATCCTGAAAAGGAAGTTGACCAAATTGTGACTTGTGAGATTTCATGAGATTAATTGCAAGAGACTTTTCTTGATGGTATGAGCCATATAGATCTACTATATCTTATTCTTTTTATAATGTGCTATTAATAATGTCTTTTCAGGTTATGTGTCTTCCAGATACTGGGAAGGCCAACAACTCTTTTGCTAGCACAGTTCTTTCTATCATCTAGCCCTATATGATAAGTTAGAGCTCTGATGCTTTTATTCATGAATGAAGACATCAAGGGTACGGCTTGGTAAAGTAAGTCTCACTCCAAATTTAGAGAATGTTTCTCAAATCCCAGAGTAGCAGATAGGCAGTAGTAAAGATCTTTTTGCTCCTAAAAACAGTTTCCCTGTACCAAGTATATCCACTCTGATTCCAAATTTTTTCTGTGAGGCATTTCATATTCTATCACTAAGAAGCTCAGCCTCACTGTTGTAGCACTGTCATTTTACAAGCTGACTCTCAAATGCCCACATAATTACTTGTCTTCCACGTTCTCCCTTCAAGCCCTTGGGTCCTTCTATGCTGTTATCAAATCCAGGAACTCCCTAAAAAATAGAAAATAAAGAGAAAAATTAATAGATTTGAATATTTCTCCTTAAAAATGTACCTTATGTATGAGTTATTTAGCTCTCCCTCAAAAAGTTGACAAGAGAAGTCCAACCCAGTTGAAAGCAGAAGTAGGTTAAAATTATAAATGGCTTATAAGTGTTTTCTTTTCCTCCACGCTTGACATTATGAGAGAGAACTGAGAGCTAAAGTGAGTGTGTGGGAAGCAAGCAAGGAGCTCCCACAGATGGCATAACCAAGGGAAGCAAGGGGGACGTAATGTGTGTGTGTACAACTCCTCTTATCCTGGGTTTGAAGTGTGGAGTAAGAATAAAATCCTAAGACCCCAACAGACTGAAAAGACCCCTCTTGGCCAAGGAGACCCTAGAAAACTTTAAAAACTGTTTCTGGCCATGACAGGACAAGGGGATTTGTTAGACTTATCGTACAACCATTCGCCTGATGCCACGGACAAACCCCCACTCCCTTTTTGTAGTTTCAACATAACAGCTGACCAGTTTCACAACATACTCCTTCCCAAATAATTACCACTGACCACAGACTGGTTCTGGTCAGTTTACAGAGGCTGAGTACAAAGTGTCTTTGTGTCCTGAGTTTCACATTTTGACAAATAGAGCCTGATTTTACTGCATTTTAAAGTCCCCACTCCAAAGTGAACATGGCATGCATGTAAGATGTATGTTTACCACACATGCATGTGACCCCCTTCACAAATATTCATAGCCCCTCCTATAACCTGTTATACATGTATGTTTACCCAACCCATTCAGCATACATTCCTGTTCTACCCTTCCTCCTTTGAGGTGCCGGCTTTTGAGGTGCCAGATGCTCTGTTCCCAGCCTGCAGGTTGCAACCCTTTATAAGAAATGAAGTTCTCCTTTCCAAACGTATAGATCTTGTGATATTTAAGTCTATAGGAGGTTCCTCCTTCTTGTTACTGCCAACCCTTCTCTTAATTTTCCTTCTTGTTTCTTGGAACCTGGGCAAATTTATGCTAAAATTGGTAAATTTTACTCTCTCCTACTCTTGGGAGAAGGCTAGTGTTTGTAATGGGTTCTACCACAATAATGTGAGCACGCTAAACAAGGCTGAAGACTCTATCTGCCATCCAGTCCCTCTTTCTCTTCCTGGACACATGGCTGCTCCAATACACTAACCCTATATGCTCACCTTACTTTTCTGGTTTTCAGGAAATCCTTGAATCTTGAGTTTTTCCCAATATTAATGCAAATGTTCCAGCAGGAAATCATTGAAAACAGGCACACATCGTGGGATATTATGCTTGGGCAGGTCAAACCGAAAGCTTTCTAACTTTGGTAGTAAGGACCACAAACAGAGCTGTGTCTCCATGATGCTGAATTAATCAATTGAGCCGGTCAATACAGTCAATGCTCCAATAAATTGAGAGGGGAAACAATTACCCAGTCCTGCTGAGTACCAGCTGTGGGGCTGTTGGGCTGACAGCAGTCCAGATTACCTTCATCAATCAATAACTAATTTGCGATCACCAACAGAGACATAGCTTTGTTCCAGATACTTACTAAGCTTTTAAAACAAATAGTTTTTGCACTTACAGAGCTTATAAGCTAATGGGGTGAAAAAGATGGGCTTGGAATTTATTTTATATAACTGATATTACTAAAATGTACATGAAAAATTACTTCTTTCCTCTACCTGCCAAAGTCAAATATTATTTTATACATTTTCTTTTTAAATATTTGTCTCTTCAATTAAATTTAAATATTTGTGTCTTCAATTCTCCAAGCAGGGTATATCTAAATTATAATATTAGAAAATTGTATTTTGGTGAAAAAGGTGAATGAGGAAAAGGAAGTTTATACAAAGTTCAGAATTTTATTCCACTGCTCATATAAGCCCCTTATTGTA